GTCAATAGTAGTGGTCAATGGGTACCGGCTAGGGGGAGCTCTTATCAGATGCGATTGGCGTTGGGTAGTTTAGACTGCCCAATGGGTACCGGCTGATGTGGGCGAGCTCTGGTGCGATTGGCGCTGGGTAGCGCTTGTTCACCCCCTTGAGGACAAAGACTGGAGTTCTTGTGGGGGCAAGGAACTTCGGGGGATGATGGTGCTCACCCCCTGCTGAGAAGTGGTTCTGAAACCCCTTACGAGGACGGAGTAAGGAAGTGACTGGGATGGAGGGAGTGGGGGTGGATGCGATTGGCGCCAAGTATCTTGGCGGGTACCGGCCACTTGCTATTAACTCCATTGAGGTTTTTTCCTTTCGATGATGGAGGCAGGATTTTTTAGGTTGACTGTTCTAGAGGTTGCATGTTTTCATATCTTCCAATCCTTGCTCAGTTAATCCCCTGGTTTCCGGGGCAATCAATGTTGGCAGGGGGAGGTTTTCTTAATTCTTTTAAAGAAAAGGTGAGAGGGAGAAGTAGACGGTTGGATATTAAGCGTCCTACTAGTGAGGGGGTTAGCTCGTAGGATGGAATTAGGGTCCAGCAGCAGCGGAGATGGTGACTCTGCTGCAGTAAGTCTTGCCGGAGTGAGGTAAAGAGGATTGATGGGGGGTTTCTGAGTCGTTTCTGAACTTTGCCGAAATTTCTGACATGGCCTCGGTTTCTCAAACTTTTATACTTCTATGTAAATTGTCATATGGGACGCTGGGCCCGGTTCCCAGCACGTGCTGCTCCCCATGAATAGATTGGAGCCTTGTCCCCTATAAAAAAAAAAAAAAAAAAAAAAAAAAAACATAGCGGTGGTGCGATGCCCGGAGAGTTGCTTGGAGCACCTCGCACAGCCCGGCAACACACTCTCTCTCTCTCTCTCTCGGCGCGTGCACGGAAAACAAAATTCATGGCAGTGTATCTTTCCATGTTCTAGTGGAAGATTCACTCTCGTTTTGCACATTTCGAGAGTAGTGAAGTGAGGCTCTCTCGGGGAGGGGGTGGGGGGAGCCTCGCTCCACTACTCTTGAAATGTGCAGAACGAGAGTGAATCTTCAGCTAGAACATGGAAAGATACACCGCCATGATTTTTGACTACCGTGCGCGCGCCGAGAGATAGACTGCGAGACCGAGACCGAGAGAGAGAGAGAGAGAGAGAGAGAGAGAGAGAGAGAGAGAGAGAGAGAGAGAGAGAGAGAGAGAGAGAGAGAGAGAGAGAGAGAGAGNGAGAGAGAGAGAGAGAGAGAGAGAGAGAGAGAGAGAGAGAGTCGCCCGGCTGTGCGGGTGCTCCAAGCAGCCCGCCGGGTGTTGCCCCATTGCTATGGACATGCACTGAAGACAACCAGGTACGGGAAGCTTGTGCCCGGTAGTTCGAGCCTCGACAAGGCTCGGCATACCGGTCGGCCGAGGCTCGGACTTGATAGCTGGGCCAAGTACTGGTGGTTTAATTTGGTCGTGAAAACAGGTACCGGAAGTTCGAGCCTCGGCAGGTACGGGAAGCTCGTGCCCGGTAGCATCGCCCCATTTCTGCAACCAGGTACGGGAAGCTCGTGCCCGGTAGTTCGAGCCTCGGCAAGGCTCAGCATACCGGTCGGCCGAGGCTCGGACTTGATAGCTGGGCCAAGTACTGGTGGTTTAATTTGGTCGTGAAATGAAAAAGCAAGACAAGTTTCCTTTTGTGCTGAGGGTGTTCCCAAGCCCAGTCTCTGGAGTCAATCGGTGAAGCATTGACTGGCGACATAAAGAAGGAATGATAACGTTCTTCATTTTCCAAAACACAAACAGGCTGTAGTAAGTCCACAGGGGCCATGGGGGTAGGGTGCTCCATTTTTTTTAACACTCCACCAACGTCAAACTGCCTTCTTGGATATCTTTTTCGTTTTGTTTTGTTTTGTTTTCGTTTTTGGGAACAAGGCTCCAATCTATTCGTGGGGAGCAGCACATGCTGGGAGCCGGGCCCAGCGTCCCATATGAAAATTTACATAGACTTTGAAAGTTGAGATACCGGGGCCATTACCCGGCTTGGCTAAGAAAAATTCGGGCTACTTAGGAAATTACTACGACAGACTTTGGAATTAGACAAAATTCAGAAACCGACTCAGGAACCCCCCATCCATCCTCTTGACCTCACTCCGGCAAGACTTACTGCAGCAGAGCCACTATCTCCGCTGCTGCTATTTCCATCCTACCAGCTAGCCCCTTCACTAGTAGGACGCTTGATATCCCACCATCTCTGTTTTGAAGACCCCACTCACCCTTTTTTGTTTTTTGAACAAAATCATATGCACAATTCGGAAAAAGACTCAGACACCACCAGTCAATCCCCTGTACCCCACTCCGGCAAGGCTTACTGCAGCAGAGCCACCATCTCCGCTGCAGCTATACCCTATTCCCATCCTACCAGCTAGCCCCCTAACTAGTAGGACGCGTGATATCCTTCTCTCACTCGCCTCAATCTCTTTTTTGCGATACCGGGGCCATTACCCGGCTTCGGCTGAGAAAACGTCTGAGAACACTTACAGTAATTCAGGAAGTGTGGAAGTAGACGAGAGTCCCAGTTAACCATTTGTGAAGTAGACCGCAGAGGTCCTGCAAATGCTCCAAAACCCTCGAAATCCCTAGCAAAACATTCCAAAGTTCTCTAGCACTATCTTACTCCCTGCCGAGCTCTTCCAGGTCTCACACCCCCACATCTTGCTGGGTTACAGGGCAACACAACTCACCCTAGCTCCTACCAGCGTCGTCCCAGCAGCAACCCTTGGTTGTCCCGTGGAATGCCCACCCCAAAGCATCCCCAGATGTCTCTACCAGGCCTCACGCTCCTGCATCAGCAGGTTACAGGGCAACACCCCAGCACCGGCAAGCATCTTGCTGGCATTGAACAGCCGCAGATCACTGAGTATTACAACATCGAAGCCACCTAAGACAACAGCATCGCCTGATGGAACCAGGGAGCTTACAGATAGTGCGACATTCACAGGTAATAAAGCACCATCAAAGCCCAGACCGGGATGGGGGACAAGAACCACACCCGCAAAGTCCATGTTGTCCGGAACCCCTTCGCCCTCCCCCTCCAATAAGAAAACAGCCAGAGTGGGCAAAAAAACTATCTGAGGCCAACCTTGACATAAGATCTATTAATGTGGCACAACCCAACGAGCAAAAGAAAACGGCCATCTGGAAGATGATGCTGCAAAATATGGGGGGGAAATGACCAGATGCTATTGGAGTACAGGAGACTCACCTCACCGATTCCCAGACCCACCTAGGCAGACATACCAGCTTCTGAAAGTTTGTGTACTTTCTTGGTCTTTTCTTTTTCTTGGCATATCTTGACCCCATTGGGAACGGGGAAAGGCTGCCGAAAATTTCCAAAAAAGATTTTTTTTTTTTTTTTTTTTTCCTTTCACCCTTTGCTTCTCTTTATTTATCTATTTTTATTATTTCTTTTACTTGATTTTTGTCTTGAAATTTTGCCATTTATCTATTTTTCTTTCCCCCTTCCCTCCATGGTTGTGATTTTATTTCCTTCGTTACGTTGCCGCTCCTCCACCCTAACCTCCCCTACTCCGGTTAGGGTTTTCTTAGGGTTTAGGGTTCTCCTACCCCCCTGCTTTGTCTTGGTTCAACCATACATAGGACCATTGATTTTCTTGGTATATTTTCTTATCGCGCTTCTCAGCACAACTCGCCACGATTGCAAATCGTGGTGGTTTGTTCTCCCATCAAACACACACACATAAAAAAGACCAACATACCAACAGACAAACAAGCAGACAAACAGACACACAGAAGAGCAGACTAGTAGATAAACAGAAAGGGAGGAAGTTAAACCACCAGTACTTCCTAAGGTCGTGCCGGTTCACACGCTGCCACAATTTTAGGAAACGTATGGGCCACTGCAGCAGCGCCCAAATTCATCCAACTAGAAACGTCTCTAGTACTCTCTACCCTCTTTTTTTCCACGGCCGATAGCTGGGCCAAGTACTGGTGGTTTAAATTGATAGCCTCAGCAATGGGCGTAGCTCGGTTGGTAAACCTACAAACTGTTGAAGTACAGATACAAGTTCAAATCCAGATAGCATCTGATGACCAAAATAAAATCATTCTTCCGGTCAGAAAAAAAGAATTGATAGACTGAGACATAAGATTGAAAGTCTGAAAAAGAAAAGAAGAAGAAAAAAAAAAAGATAGAAAGGCTGAACGGTTGATACGCAAAGGTGGGAGTGGCTGAAGAGCCTATAGAAGTCTCTGATAGACCATTTGTACACACCTACCTTGATCTTGAAAGGCTACCATATACACAGAATAGCAGCATGTCCGGTGTATAACCACACCCTGAAATCAAATATAGGCCCTCACAAACTTACTCCACAATCATCTGCTGGAACCTGAAGGTTCCCCCCCAGGTGGTACACCTGTGCTAAGTACTTATCATTTGCCCATGAACTGGGTCTATGTTCTTGCAAGCTTAGCACCAGTACCAAGGTGCGAAACACACAATGACATGCAGAATGTTCAGTGTACCAACCCCCTGAAATCAAATATAGGCCCTTACACACTTACTCCACAATCATCTGCTGGAACCTCAAGGTTCCCCCCCCAAGGAGGGATACCTGTGCTAAGTTCTTAGCATGGATTTGGCCATAAACTGGGCCTATGTTCTTGCAAGCATAGCACCAGTGTGGCCCTTACACACTTGCTCCACAAGCAAGGATTTGCCCATAAA